TAATGTATGTTTGTATTTTAATTATTTATGGATTTTAGTCACTGTTGGAGGGATTGGTGTGCTTGTTCTTTTTTGGTATTGTGAGCCGCCCAGAGTCACCCGTTGGGGGAGATGGACAGCATACAAGTTTAATAATAAAGAATGAATGAATGAATGAATGAATGAATGAATGAATGAATGAATGAATAAATAAATAAATAGATAGCACACCAAAAAGCTTCACAGCAAGTGTCTGTCTGCGACCGCAATCTCGCCTTGAGGAAGCCACGACCACGTGTCAGAGCAGGGAAGATGGCTGCGGGTCGTGTTCGTCACCCGATGCGAAGTTTGCGAACAGAAGCAAAATTGTTCGTGAACAGAAGTGTTCATGAACCGAGGTATTACTGTGCTGCTGTGCATATCCTTAGGCATGAGTTTGAATATAATGCCTTGGTTAAAGAAAGGAGTCTAGAATCCATGCCCAGGTCTGTGAGTTACTTCCAAAGAAGGTGCCTATTTATTGAATCAAATGCTGCACTGAGATCTATAAAAGTTGTAAACAGTTGGCTCCCTTTAGCTGTATATTATTCTATTAGATGACCTAAAAATTTATCAATAGTGGAGCAACCAGACCTAAATCGAGTTTGCTCTTTGGGTAGCAAACCCTTTTCGATTACCCAGTCCTCAATCTTGTATAAAAGACATTTGGCATACAATTTTGCTACAATGTCAATTAGATTAATCAGTCTATCATTTGAGGGATCATCCTTATCACCCTTTTTGTAAATGGGGACAATAGAGAACTCCCAACCACCTGGAATTTGGCAGGAATTATTTATGTGAGTAAATAAATGTGCAAGTAAGGGAGCCCATCAGTTGATGTGACATCTGAATAATTCATGGGGTAGAAGATCTTCCCCAGGAGCCTTACTGGACTTCAGAGTCTGAATGAATCCTCTAGCCTCCCATTCAGTCACTGGAGGCCAGAGTGGGGAGGGACTACAGCCCTACTGTAGATTATTTTATAAATCCTCTAAGCCACTGAAACTTAGCCTTTTGGCTAAGATCAAGTGTAGTATCCGTTCTTATCAGTTTAATAGCTGATGTTCCCTACTTGTAATGTACTAAGTTTTATTCTGATCCCTTATGAGTGCCAGGATGAAATACTTACTGGGTTGATAGGCCTCATTTTAAAATGTAATTACAGGCATTAGCAGATTAATAGAAACCAGGAAATAAATCAGCAACTATTGGAAAACATTCCCTGATTCACACAAAAAGGCTTCAAAAGTATAGAATCCACATCTTAACCTCTTCTTAATCCCAATGTTAGAAACCATGGAAGCTTTGAAAAATTCATCAAATAGTATTTCTAGCTTTAAGCTTAAGGAAGCAAGCAGAGACCAACCATTACAGTCAGATGAATGTGTCTTTTCCAACCACTGTTATGATTATAGAACAGATCAAAGAATGTAAAGAAAAAGGTGGAGGGAAAAAGTTGAAAATTTCAAGACTGTGTTTTCATTTCCTTACCCGTTTTATTGTCAAAAAACTTTATGTGTCTATCTTCATGAGCTGTTATTGTTACAGGAAGGGTGGGATGACTTACTACTCTGTTAATGTGATTGCTTGACTGCAATCCTAAGAATAAAACACAGGCAATTATTACACAATAAAGGAAGAATTAATACAGACAGCTTGTTTTAGCCTAATATTTCAAAATAATTAAAACTATTACCATGTTACTAAATTAGCCAACTCTGCTAGAAAGTTTCCATTGTAAATACAGGCAAAAGCTTTCCACAGAAGGTAAAAACTGCAATCATTATTACGAGATGAAGTAACAGCAAATTTCAGACTTTCCCTCTTCTTCCCTTCCTTTGAGTACAAGAGAATAGAAATTTCCATCCAATCTGTGGCAAAGCATTTAACTAGAAATTGCAAAACCTAATTTGCAGCAAGCTGAAAGCATGCAGCTTTTAATCTCTCTTCTTCATGTACAAATAAGGGGATATAGGAGTATTAGAGCTCAAGATAAATAATGGTTCATTGCAGTGGTATCCTAAATTTTTAGAACATGAACCATTTCAATTTGGTATGCAAAACAATTCTGTCAGTTTTGATGCAATATATTTGTAAGATTAAGTTGAAGCAAAAAAGTTGAAACAAAAGAAACCTCCCAGACTTACCAGAATCTGTCTGTGAGGACAGCATTACCAGTGACTGGGATGTTTCCAAATCATAGATGACAGTGTTGCCAGTGCTAAATGATGTCACCATATGAGCAGGATCACAGCCTATGAAGTCAACTGATGTGGGTATTCCGTATTCTAAAGCATAAAGAAAAAAATCCATAGATTCTGTTAAAACCATTCATTTGTTATACTCAAATGTTTATATTTCTATATCTGGTGTTCCTTTAGAAGTACTAATTCCCTTCATAACATAAAAAACCTATCTGGAAAATAATTAAAGCGTACCCATCTTTCTTTAAAACCAATCCCACTGTTTGCTAGTATCATTGCCATACTAAAATAAATGGATAGGATACCATCTCTTCCCATACTAGCTGGATCACTGTCCCAGATCTACCAGGAGGGAATCAATATATAGCCAAAGCATGTGGGAAAAAGCTTCTCCTTTGGTCATACCTAGATATTTGCCCTGACAGCTTCATTTTGCTCCATTGATGACTTCACCCCCATCCTGCTTCTAAAAACTTGTTTATTAAGCTTAATAATATCATTTTGTTTCATGTGGCAATTTCCTGTTTTGATGTCTTTTCATTCCAAGTTTGTCTTGACACATTTTTATTGAGTTGATTCAATTTTCTCCTGCTAGTGGAAGCAAAGTTCCATTCAGAATGCCTCTGCTGACAGAAATGGAGGGAGGGGATGCAGGATCTCTGCCAAATGCTTCTTGCTTTGAATCCCCAGGAACAGATTTGTTTTGGGGAGAAAGTACTAGCTAACTGTAGAGCAAAGAGGAAATTTCAAGAAAAATACTTCCTCCTCCACTTGACCAGTGGGATTCCTTTGCTGAATCAGCAACTCCTCGAGATTAAAGCAGCCTTTCTTTCAGTTGGGAAAAGATTCTAAACCCAAGCCACCATTTTTACTTTCTATATAAATTTTGCAATTGTACATGATTACTTGTTGGAAGGTATCCTGAATGATGTAAACTGCACAGTGACAGGTTAGATGATTTTCAATCAATAAACCTTTTATTTTAAGAATAAAAGAGCAACAGAATTTTATAACTGAACGTAGAAACAAATGTTAGAATTATTACAATTACCTGTTATAAATTTTGATTTTTTAAATTAGTATTAATCAACTTTTTAGTATATTAGATTTAATCTTCTGAACTTTTTTAAAAGTAGAGACCTTCTCATAACTCACCTCTATTTCCATTGTAAGTGCAAATGCAGGTCACTTTTTCAGGTGGATTCCATAACCTAACACTGCCATCTGCTGAACAAGATAGTAAGTGATTCTTTATACCACTATAAGCGAGATCCCAGACAGCATCTGTGTGAGCAGTTAATGTGCCAGCTAGAACATTCGGCTCTGTAGCAAAAAGAAAAAAAAAAAAGTTAGATCTTTAAAAAACCTGAAAATTTCTCAGCTAGTATTAATTTAGCTGGTGCCACAATTATTTTACTAAATACACTGCTAATGATTTGTCTAGTTCACAGATTATTTAACATGCTATATGGATCTCTACTGAGATCAGTCCAAAGATCACAGAAAACTCTGTTTTGCTTCTTGTAATTTAAATTCATACGAGCCATCATTCACTTTATTGTACAACATAAAGATTATCTCAGAAAGGTTAATTATATGACTAGATACCACATCGTTACATTCACAGACAAGGCTTACCGTATGTATCATAAGGATCCACATTAGGGCTAGGCATATTCCACCACTGAATAGTTGCATCAATACCACCACTAAAACACTGTTCTCCATTAGAGCTAATTGCCAAGGATAACACAGGTCCACTATTTTAAAACAAAAGGAATACACTAACATTAATAAACCAACAATTAACATTTTGAATTTAGAAAGTTTAGATTATCAAAATCACTAAATATAAACATATTTCCTTGCTTTTGAATGTATATATTTGTACATAAGCAGTATTTAATATTATGATTAAAACATAAAATTATTTAAACATGAATATTATTCCTTCCTCTTTTCCTGTCTATATATTAGTTATATATATTTTTCTGGTAGGTTTCTGTTTTTGATATGGAAAACATTTTTATAGTAAATTTCATAGCTATTATAAAACATTTTTAAAGATTAGAAATATCTTCAGAATATAATTGATTATTTTGTTTTAAAGTTAAATAACATCAAAAGCCAGAACATGCATCTTCTGATGTAGTACTTTCCTTGGAACACCTGGATAAGCATTTGTTAGGAATATTAAAATATTAAAAATACTTACATATGGGCTCTAAATGTGTAGATAGGTTCCACATCTAACGAGGCACTCCTAAAATAAAGATGTCAAAAAAGCAATCTGTGAGCATTATCTTGAAATATTAAAACTTCAGAATTTAATGTTCTTTAAAGTATATAAATATATACTTGCTTTTTGGCAGGTACTGTTTTTTGTAAATTCCAAAGTTTTAGGGTATGATCCTCAGAGGCTGTAACCAGCACAGGCTCTACAGGATGAAAAGCTAATGCTCGCACTCCATCAAAATGGCTGCGCAACGTATATTTAGGATTCCATGTTTTTCTAAAGGCATCTTTGTTGGCTGGCAGCTAAAATAAAAGGGGATAATGTTAACAATAAGAAACAGAAGCATACAGCTATATAGCTATATACTGATTATGCTTTTCTTCTGGATGGCTTTTATCGGATATTGTTTGTTTTCTACTGATATGTTCAATAAATTACATCTAGAAATCTCTATATGGCATAAATACAGAGAAATTACTTTTAGAAGCAATTCTTGTATTATGTGAATCTGGAATCCAGAATTCAAATTTTATAAAATCTAAAACTTCACATCTGCCATGTTTCAAAATCAAAACCTAAACCAGTGTTTCCAGTAGTCAAAATAAGTTTTCAACTCTTGACAAAGTTTCATATTCCCCCTTAAAAAATTCTATTTCCTTTCTCATTTTTTTTGTGATTTTCTCTCTTTATAATTTCACAATGTACCACACCTCTGAAACCACTTTAGTTTTTGTAGATATATGAATATTTTTAAAATACTGTCACTGAAAATCTTTTGCTTAGAAATGTTTTAAGAATTGTGTCACTTAATAGCAGATTGCTTGCTTGCAACTGTGGTTATTTACAGCAGTAATCAATTACACATTCATATTGACGGGTTTCTGCTTGCATAACCAAAAGTCCAAAATATTATCTGATCTAGTTGGTAAGAGCCCTGTCCCCTAAATAAGGGGAGATAGGGCTTGTTTGCTCAGCCCACTCCAGATGACTGATGGACCCAATGGGGTTCCAGAGGGAGCTTGGAGTTTTCTCTGAGGATCTGGTGGGCAGTTCAGCTGAGGCCTCAGTCACTGCCTGGAATGGGCAAGTGGCTGGGGCCTTGGACCACATTGCCCCTACATGGCCCCTCCCTGTGTGCTGATCTTGGGGTCCACTCTGGTTTACTGAGGAGCTCTGAGAATTGAAGCACCAGAAGAGATGCCTAGAATGCTGTTGGAGGAGGACTTGGAGCAAGTAAGAGTATACATTTGGGATTATGTTGTGGGGATAAAGATAGTGAAACATCAATATTTCTCCATCTTTGTTGTGTCTGCTGATAGCCATGCAGCAGTCCCATTTGGGTCCCTATTGGGGAGGGGTAGACCACGGGACTACCTGAAGGGCCACTGTGAGGAATATTCTGACTATCTGACAAAACAAAGTTGCTCCGATCTGCTCCAAGTTGGACTCTGACTAGGCAGGTCCAGCTGAGGTACCAAGGCTTAGTCTTGTGGTGCAAACGGGGATGAGTTTGAACTGGTCACTCCTGAGGAAATGGACAGGGTATTCTGTGCTATAAGTTAGGCCACTTGTTTGTTGGACCCAGATCACACCTGGGTCCCTCCACTGTGGGGTCCATACTGTGGTGTCAGCCTCTTTGATGGAGGGAGTGATGCCTCTGGCCTTGAAAGAAGTGGTACTGATCCCACTTCTCAAGAGGCTGTCCAACTGTCTTAGGTTTTCTGGAAAGCACAGAAAACTC